ATCACAGTATCAGCTTAAAGCACTTGTTGCAGCTGCTGAGTTTGCATCTTTTGCTGTGAAGTACAGCCAGACTTTGACCGCTTCACCTTGGGCGTTTTTAATCTGTAGCTCTGCTCTAAAAGAACGTACGTACCTGGACCCGCCTACTACGCTTGCAAAGGTGAAATGATTGGCTGGAATCTAAAGTGTGTGAACTCTCAGGGGGAAAAAGCACAGAAACGTGCGCTGCTTTTCAGTCTGGTTACTACCGTTTATGTCATAAATAATGGCACCGGTACCCATCCCTACTCCTTAGTGCTCTGAGTGTGTAACCCCAGGAAATGGCATGCTGCCAGCAGACAGTCTTCACAGGGTTTCCATGATCGAACGCTGGCCGTCCGTCCCAGGCTCTGTTCTTCACTGCACGTTTGTCTGAATTTATTTTAATGTTGCAGGTACAAAGGTAATCCACGTTGCTCATCTGCAGCAGTCCAGGTGTTGGATCCGTGTTTGTATCAGCAGGTGACCAAAGATCTCTGATCTCAGGACTAAACAGCTGTTGATATTGTGACCTTCCTCTAAACATGCAGTTGTACAATATTTCAAGCCTCTTCTCTTCACATGGGAGAGTTGTAATCAGAGTATTCTGTTGAAAGTATGTCACATTCCCGACCTGCAGATGACAGTTTTGTATATCTGTTGAGGACTTAATGAGGTTAGACTGGAAAGGTGGTGCATGGAGATGATGCTTCTTCATGGCTGCATTCATATTTCCTCTGACAGTATCTTAAATGTACCCCTGACTCTGCAGGACTTCGACCATCACTGTCCGTGGGTGAACAACTGCATCGGCAGGAGAAACTACCGCTACTTCTTTCTCTTCCTGCTGTCTCTGACAGCCCACATCATGGCTGTGTTTGGCTTTGGGCTGCTCTTCATCCTCTACCATCGGCAGAACATTGACCGCCTGCACGCCATTGTCACGTATCCTTTCATGTCCCGTGGATCTGGTACTCCAATCTGGTTTTACATTGCTGAGTTACTGTCAAGTTGTTTAAATGAGGCACTCGTGGGAGGATTTCACGTAGCTTTCTAAGACAAGAGTGGTCCAACCCCACCCAATCGAATCTTTGAATGAGAATAACGATATAAACGCATGAATCTGCATAAACTGGCCCAGGACAAGAGTACATCCTGCCTTTGCTCTCCCCACACACACCTGCTGTCATGGTGTCATGTCCATCACTGCTCTCCATAGGCCTTGATCTGTTCAATGTACTGTTTAAGATGCTAAGGTCCTTGACCCCCCACCCGTGCTCTCAGGCTCGCTGTAATGTGTGTCGCAGGCCTGTTCTTCATCCCTGTCGCTGGCCTCACTGGCTTCCACATCGTCCTTGTGGCTCGAGGCCGGACGACCAACGAACAAGTAAGTAGAAGTCAGTGTTCCACACATGTACACCAGGAACCAGTTAGCTCA